AAGACAAGGGATTTTTATGCCAATCCATCAAGATCCAATCAAAAAAAACTTAGGTAATAAAAGCGATATTTCATAAAATCAAAGTGTTTCATTTGTTTGTGATCTTTTTAGAGAAAGCTTTGCAAAAGTATAACTGAAAATGTTTTTACCGTAAATTCATAAATAGAGAAGATTTCCCAAGAGAAATGGAAGAAAATAGATAACATTGAATAAGAGTCCTTTGGATTAATATAAGCTGCTTTGTGCGTTTTGTGGTGTATTTGGAGTTCTGGCGCGCCAGGCGGAAGTTCGACAAGTAAATATCACTTATTTTAGCAGGTAGTGTTGTTCAAGTACAAAATATCGTTGGATTTATTTTTCTTTCAAACCGCAGGTACCGAATTGATTCCTCGTTGAAAAATCTCTTAATTGCCGTGAAACTAGAAAGTGTTTTTACCACTTCCTTGGATTAAGATGAATGTTTTTATAGTTGACAAAAGGGTTTAAATCGAACGATGCTTTCTATAAAGAAWAGGAGTGGAGGAGTCGTCGTTGTATTTGAATTCATCGCAGCGAGAATTCTACGTCGGATTCTAAAAGGGTAATTTGGAATATCAAAAGATTTGCGTCTACCGCGTAGGAGCGCAAAATGATATGCTAAATAAGYCTGATGTTTTTGCATAWATTACATGATCTATACCATCTGTGACAGAGCTGTGTTGACAAAAGCGAAACAAGGAAAAAATAGAGCCGGGGATTACAAATCGACAATTGTATCCTTTCAAGCGGCAACTCRATAATGGAAGAAGAAGAAAAATCCGAAGAAACAGACACCACAGCTCAACGGTTATTTTACGACGTTAAAGAAGTCGATGCAGTCGAACTTCCCGATGAAYCCAAAGTCAAAGAGCGGCCWCGAACGATTCTTGCCTTCTTCATGTTCGGATTTTTGATTTACGCTACTTACTCACTCATAATCTCTGGCGCTCAGGACATTTTACAAGGAACTTTAGTCCCAACCTCAGCAGTTCTAGTAGCTAATATTGGGCCTTATTTCGGCGTGACTCTCATAGCGCCTTACTTTATTCAACGAATTCCATACTTTCCTCGTGTCTTGGCTGTGTTTCTACTAGAAACATCTGGCCTTATCATGGTGGTTGTCGGACATAATGTCACAGTAAAGTTGGTTGGTATTGGTTTTTCATCGACTGGTTTTGGTCTCGGGGAGCTGTCTTTTATAGCTATGACTTCGTTTTATGACGAAGCAGCGGTTAGAGCGTTTTCGGCTGGAACTGGTGCAGGAATTGCACTTGCACCATTATATTACACAGGTTAGTGAGTGTTCGAAGTGATACATTCAATTAAAGTAGTAAGAGAACAAGTTCATTGATGTTTTTTTATTAATATCAATCTTTCTAAATACCAAAAATTGCTTTAGGTCCTTTAGTTTATACAGCAGAGTGTCGCGTCTTTCCGACACGATCAGTCATCTGGAAAACTTAACCGTCTCTTTGTAGGCTTTGATGCTGTGTTCAATTATCAGAGACAAACATAGGTTCATATGTTTATTTGATCTATATTAGAACAGCATTGGAATAAAATTCATAGTTATTTCAAGAAAAAAAAAAACGTTGCCGAGAGACCGAGGCGAAGCTATGCATTACCGAGATTTATAACATGGGGTTTTCATTGATTGCACTATTCGTTTTTCGTTAAATAAAGAACTTTATTGACGGTTCGATTATTTGATACGCGTTAATTTTCTAAATAAGAGGAGATATCTTAATTAATTTTCCAGCAAAATCGACGGTATAATCACAGTACTTTTAAAACGTAGTCGTTAGCCCCCTACGACGAACAGTAAGATATATATACTTTAGCTATATTCATTTTATCCAAATAATGATATTGTTTAATCTGTACATTGTGGTCAAAAAAGGAGCCTTTCTGCATATACCGGAATCTCAGCGTTTGGCTTTTAGTGCATTTTGGGGTATTGTTTTGCTCCATTTCCTTGAGCTCATTCTAATTATTAAGTGAATTTCTTGGTTCGGTARAAAGAAGGAATCAATGTTACGRGTCTATGCGRACTTGTAAGCATTTTAGACGCTCTTTGATTTTTCTTGTTTGATCACGATTGTCGTCGAGATAACCAGACTAATTAGAATTAAAAAAATTACATAACAAGTTAGTAAAACGAAAAAAAGTCTATGTACAGAAACTGATACCAAAAAAAATGCAGTTTTTACTTCAGATGAAAACGAAAAATAATTGTGAGCAATTCATTGTACTGAGAAAACAAAAGTTCATTGCTGAATAATTAAAGAAAACAACATCACACTTCTTATAGTAGCGCTGGTGGTAAAAATTTGAGGAATATTTATTTAAAATAAATAACTCAATTTGTTTTACGTCAAGAAAAATGATGTGAATTCAAGATGGCGGTTAAATATCACATTAAAGCACCAAAAGCGATAACAACTAAAACTATTATTGCTTTGTTTATTTCTGTAGCTATGACAACATGGGCCTGCATTCCTCCCAACACCGCAATCTCGATAATGGCCGTCTGCCTTGTTCTTATTTTGGCCTTCTATGGAATAATGGATCGAAAGCATTCCGAGTCCTTCACCACCCAAGAGAATGATAGCTTCTCAAGCGTGCCTTATAAGCCAATCGGAATCGACTCCATTGATGACGACAACCCAAAGAGCCCACGGTCCAGGATGACATTCCTTGAAAAGGTCACAGCAGTTAGTCACGTGTTTCCCACCATGCTTTGCGTTGTTCTGGCCTGGACCGCTGAATATCTCATCATCCAATCAGTCATCACSACCATCGCATTTGTCGACGCACCCTTCCCTCCACGMGATCACTACCAGTATTACATATTTGTTTTTCTAGGAGGAGAACTGTTTGGGAGATCCTACCTTATTTTCTTCTCATACGTGTGGCCTAGTTTGGCGCCTAAATTGGTGATCAGACAACTTTGGAGTCTTACATTTGTCGAAGTTGGAATATTGGTGTTTTTTATTTTTGCKGCGTGGTACCGTTTCCTCCCAAGCGTCGCCATTCCGTTAATTGTCTCATTCATAGCAGGCGTGATAATCGGTATCATGTACGTCAACATGTTGACGGTTTTCAGTGAYATRGAGGATGACATGCAGAGAGAGTTTGTCCTCGGCTATGCCTCGGCTGCTACAGGGTGTGGCGCGTTTACTGCTGGTCTTRTTGGCCTCGTTTTGGAGCCTTGGCTACGTCATCATTGCCTTAAAGTTTCACCTTCAAGTGACTTTTGCTTTACGCGGTCAGTGGGGAAAATTAACTCATGTGGTACTTGAATGATATTCTTGAAAAACARGAAAAATAATTTTCTTTAATGTATTTTTTTGTTAAAGAAGGGATTTGACCTAATTTATCTAAATCTAAATTTATTTTTAATACTTATACACATTCAAAGAGATAATATTATTGATACAATTACGATGCACAATACACAGAATATATATTATTGATAGTGACGAAGACGTTTATTGCAATGAACTAGGGGAAATAGGAATTTACACACAAAAATTGGGGTATTATTTGTACGGCAATATTCAAAGCGAATAACCGCTGCTTTATTTGACAACAGATTCTCTTGCGCAAAGACCTTACCGAAAACAAAGAAAGCATAAGAAAATGTCGTTATTACAATAGCTTTTGCATTTTCAGCTTGCGCGATTTGAAGCTTACCCTGTATTTCCAAAAGGCCTAAGGTTTAGTTTAAGCCTTCTGGGAATACAGGGTTCGCCTCAACTGGGGTAAAATGAAATGTTTTTAGTGCCATTGTACTTCAACATTAATTTTCTCGAGTTTTCTCTTTTGTTTGGTTTTTGTTTGGTTGTAAGAAAATCTGCGTTCAAATTAACCAGCGGTTATTTGCTATGAGTTCGAAAATGGAGTATTGAGTACTATGTGTAAGTTATTAAGTTATTCATAGGGTAAGAACTCGGGACTTTGGTTGTTATTTCTTGTTATGGTTTTTCCAAATTCCTTACAAAGAAATAAATATATGTAGTTTTACGTTGTTCTTGTAATCAAAGAACAGTATTGACAAAAGCAACATATGTTAGTGATACTGGAATTAAAGAAATAACTGGTGAATATCAAAGATAACAGATGCATATAGGGCAAAAATCGAACGAAAATGTGGGATGGATAACTTATTATATCAGTAAATAGGGAATAGAATAAAGATACAAGGTTCTAAAGGTTTTCTTTTGTGATTTAATTTGTTTTTTGGTTTTGACCAAGCGCGCAGGAGACGAAGAATGAGCCCACTCCTAGCGCGCAATCTTGAAACATAGTCGACTGTTTGTATCAAAGCGAGATTGCGAGAGGAGAACGGCGATTACTTATGCACAATTTATAATAAGCATAATCTAATTAACAGTTTATAATATGATGCATAATTAGATGTCAAAAAATCCCCAGCAATTTCTTTCTCTATGCAAAGGCACTCCTACCTCTTAAGAAGGCGACAGTTTCTTGTCACCATTATATGCGTGGGGTACCTAACTGAGATGTTTGACTCATAAGTACCATAATCCTCTTTCCTGTGACGTCATGATTGGCGAAGTGCATCACGGTAAGGATAAATTATCAAGAATCATTTTAATATCTATCAAACATTCTACTGACATATATCGCTTTAACAACAACTATTATTTACATTTAATGTATGTACAATTCTTACTTTCTATCCTCAACATACTTATCGTCATAGAATCTTGCGGGTTTTTTTGCGCATACATAGATCTTTTCGCGTATTTTTTCGTCTAACCTAATTATAACTGCTGAAATTGGAATTTTTACGAACTATATAGTTTTTTAAAATTGTTTCTGTAGACAGCGCGACGCCACCCATGAAAGTTTCGTGCATGCTATACAATTAGAAAGCGAGAATTTTTTACATTTTATCCAGACAATTAGGGTCATTTCATATGTTCAAAAAACTTCTGATTCAGCCAATGAGAGGTGGTACTCATACAGCTTAAAATATCGCGGTTGATTTTGAAGCTCCCAAGGTGTATTTTAAAAAGTGGGTTTTCTACGCGATAAGCAGTCAACAAGCTAATAAACAAATTAGCTTAGGTGGCCACAAAAGAGTAAGGCGCGTCGCTCTGTAACAGAAGATGAAAAAATATGAAAAAAAAATTGTTGAAAGGACACTTGATATTATAAAAAAGAATAAATAAAGCAAAAAGAACCCGCAAGATGCACTACAAAATATGCTGAGGTAACCTAAGTCGATCAACAGCTYTTACCAGCTGTAGCATTCCATCCTACGAAAGGCCTTGTAAAACAATAATCCGGGACGTCTGATATACCAAGACAATGCACCCGTAAGTAAGGTTCTAAAAGAAGTCCTATTGCGCCCGCAAGGAATGTTCCAGCGCCCATGCCTATGGTAGCAAAGCCCATTGCAAATTCTTTATARCTCGGTGCTGTACTATCTGATACTATAACAAACGCATTGGCGAACGCTGCYCCCGCAGCAAGTCCAGCGGTAAATATAAAAGTAAAAACAATCCATACGTCATGAATGAAACGGTACCACGCAGCCGCGAGGAAGAACATAAAATGTACGACTAAAATTAACGATAAGATCCAAAGTCGGCGAACGATCAGCTTCGGAACTAAACTCGGCATTAACGARGACACTAGTGCTAAATACGAACGCGCTACGAACTCGCCAGCGAGAAATATGAATATGTAATAGCGATAATGGACCCGTGGGGGGAAGGGTGCGTTGGGGAATGCCATTGTAGTGATTACAGCTTGAATTGTGACGTATTCACAGACGTAAGCTACAAAGATGGCGACTACAAGATGAAGAATGTCATATGCAGTGTTAAATTTCTCCTTCCATGAGAGATGTGCGTCACTATTTGAATCTTCATCATCGCCAACTGGATCGCCTTCAATAGATTCRTTGATATGTTTTTTGTCCATTATGACGTAACAGATGACGTAAAGCAGYGGGGAGCCGGCCATTATCAACATAGCTCTGTTTGGGGTTATGCAGAACCACGTGGTCAAACCTGGAATTGAGCAAGATGTAGAAGAGAAATATATGAAAAACTATAAAACTTGCAATTGTTACTTCCAAGCCATGCGTGAAAATGAGTAAGAAAGTTAGTAAAAAATGTGCGCAACATTAGGCAAGCAAAATAAAGAAGAATTTGAAGAAAGAAATGAAAAAAAAACCTTTGGCTTATTGAAAAAGCAGCTATTTGCTATGGATAGTCAAGGGATATATATATTTCTTATATTTTCATATATATTTCTAACTTATGTCATTAATCTCGTATATACATATACTTTATTGAAGTTCCCCTTACGGGGCTATACTGCTATAATGTATAAATACAGTACAAATTTTACAAATTTAGATATCTAACAGTTATAAAAGATAACAGTTCGATAAATATAAAATAGCTAGAAGAAATGAAAATAAAATCCAAGGGAAATATAATCTTATTTCTTAAGAACCTAAGAGTGTCTCTTAGTCGATCATCTAAGGAAACATACGTCCATTGTAAACCGGCGTCAAAGCAGAGAAGACGTATAAACTCAAAAAGCAAAGTTTAAAGTGTTGAAAGGAGAGAGGAGAGATGAAAATACATCGTCATTGTTTAGCATAGATAGCAGCGAGGGGAGTCCTAAAAACCGCAAACGTTACGATACGTTTACTGGTAAGTGCCAATTTTGTTTTCTTCTTCTGTCTTTATTATCAAATTCTCGTTCCAAAAGTACGAGTCAAAGATGAACTATTTATGTCAAACAATGACTAAAAAAACAGGTGATCGCAGATACGAAAAAGAAAATAAACTTCTTGATTTAAAAAAAAAAAATTCAAATCTTATCCAAACTTACCTGTATAATACAGAGGTCCTAATATAAAGCCAGTTCCCGTTCCTGCGGAGTAAGCAGACACTGTAACTTGCTCGTAAAACGCTGTAAGAGTAAAGAAGGAAACTTCACCAGTACCGGCTCCCAAAGAGGTCAGACAAATCCCCACTAATTTCATATACACTTCCTTAGCGTATACTATAGTGAAAAGACCAGCGGTGAATGTCAAATAAATAAATACTATTCTAATCGAATATGGAACGTGATGGATAAAATARGGAGCCATCATTGTCACTAAAAAATACGGTCCTACATTGGTRACTAAAACCGCAGCGGTTGGTATGAATGTTCCTGCCAAGATATCTTGCGCTCCGGCGATAATAATCGAGTAGACTGTGTAAATCAATGCACCGAATGAATAAAAGGCAATAATGTTTCTCATTTTCTCTTTTTTAGGCTTTTCTGTGGTCGTTTCATTTGCTTTTTCTTCGTCTTTGTTCGTAGTCTGTTGTCCATTTAACTCATCTCCGTCGGTTTCTTTATCTTTTTCGCTAAACGATTCGTCTTTCTTCTCGCTTTCCATTCTAAAAACTAATTCCTTAATGTGGTCTGTTATAAATTAAAGCTTTTGAAATATATCTTGGAACAAAAAAACTATAATATCTAGAACAGAGATCGAGTTTGGGTAAAAATTTTCCTCTCTCACATCACTGTTAGGAATCGACCAATCGCAGAAAAGGCCAGCACTYTACCAATTCTCAATGTCGTCATCATCAGATTCTACGCTTCAGTTAAACACAAAATAATACTTATAAATAAACAAAATTCCTCGTGAAAACTCCTCAGATAAAAACCTAAAAGGTAACTCTATTATATTGTGGAGTAATCTTTTTGTAATTCTCTGGTGGTAGTGATTGTTGTAGGTGTTCTTGATCAAGYTTCTTGTATGGGAATTACCGTTGCTACYAGAYCAGGTGGGAGAACAGGTAGACTTCGTAAATGAGTGCTTCCGACAGGTATCGGATTGTTTGCCATCTCACGGTTTTTATATTTCAATCTTTGAACAATGTTTTCTTATGATTCTTCTAATCATAAACTCTAATTTTTATCTATATGTAAGTGAAAAAAATCTTAGATACCCCTCCCCCTTAATAAAGTTCGTAATCGTAGTGAAATTAGGAAGTAACTATCGTTCACAAAGTTAAAGAATTTCTGAATTAGTCACCCTCTTTGATTTTATGACCTGAAGATTTTCATATCTTTACTTTTTTACTAGTTTCTTAAGTTTAAAGCTTTTCAAATCTTTTGAGCTGAAGCGAACTTCGCATTCGCAACCCACATAGGAACTGTTCGTTGCTGGTATAGACTACAACATAAAACAGAAACAGAAGCCACTTGACATAAGCATATGCGTTTATGTTGCGTCGGTTACACAAGCACAAGCAGAAATAAAATAAAAGGAAAAACCAGTCATTTCCCTATGTGTGTGCATCTGCTAATAACTGCGCTGGCTTTTGATAACTGAATCACCATTATCATCAAGTCGTGTACGCATCACCTTGGATCCTCTACGAAAGTTTTTTTTGTTTTGAAAAGTAGTTATAAAGGGTTTCAATCATGCTCTCAAAAGCCTGAAATATGGCCATCAAAATATTTTGCGTAGAACGAAGTTATGGCAATGCGCGCAAAGCATCAAGGGTGATACTGGACCTTTAAACATCTGTTCTAGTTATTGTTTTTGATGATTTTGATGCACCTTCAATTGTATACATATAGTTATATATTTCTTAACTTTCATAAGGTTCAAAACATGTTACTAGCCTATTCGAAGTTGGATATCAACTAGGAATATGCCAATATATTCGGTATAACATTCATTTTGTTATGTTACTACTCATGTATTTAAATTCTTCGTAAATGTTTTCCCTATCTATGGATTTGGCAATTAATCAAGACTATTTGCTAAATGATAATCCGATAAGCACCCATCAGTATGTACGAATCGAGGACTATTAACTTCAATTTGGATTTAAAATCTTTCCTAATTAAGTATAACCATTGAGGTAAAAATTCAAGAAGACCGAAGGAAAAGGTAAAATGACGCTAAGAAAATTATTACTTATAGGTATTATGTAATGTGGAGTGAAAAACCGGAAAAAAATTATATCAATTAGAACCGTCAAAACACTAAAACAATGCAAAAATGAAAGATTTCTAAACAGGAAAATATAAACCAAACATACCAACATGAAGAGATCAAATTTATTAATAGAGCAAAACTGAAAACAGTTTGAAATGTCACTATAGCAACAAGACGACTGTTTTAGGTAATTCCGTAAGTACCGAAAGCACTCCCACTTAACAGCAACCTAATTGTTCATACTGTGTTAGCCAATCAAATGACGTGTTTTGTATACAGAAGATTAACCCATTCAAATAAAAATCAAAGAAAATTTACATGTAAACAAACTATAGATTTTAGTGGATCCGATAGCTAATGTATGTTTGCCTAATGGCGGAAAACGTGCAAGAAAATGCTTCTCTTCGAAGTGATAAGACAGTTTTATGGGCTCGTTATTTGGACTAGAAATCTTCATTGGCTTTAAGWCTTGATTCAAAAGTCACCGAATACTTTGGTAGGCTTTCAGAGGCAAAAAACTTCAAAATAGTATCAAGGTATCTGTGCTATTAGTTCGAAACTCTGCTTAATTCTTCACTACAAATCATGTGAAACAGGAACTTATTTGTTTACCTTCATATATCAATATCGTTTGAATCTAAATGATCATAGTTTTTTTAATTGTTTGTCTAAAGTTATCGCTATTTAACCTTTTAGTTAAACCACGTAAGAATAAACGACTTAAAAGGCCATTTATGAKGCATTTTTTATYGTAGCTGRGTCCTTGCATGTCCATAATACTACTTTTTGAGTGAACTACTTTTCTGTAAACGTTTGCAAATGATAACAAGACATCTAAGCGATCTATTATTGACCAAAATACTGTCGCAGTTGTGTTAATTAGAAAAGCACAAAGGCTTTTCGGGTGCTTTATTGTGTAACATAATTAGCGAGAGAAATCCTAATAGCTCACACAGTTTTGCCTTTCTTTTAGCGCACAACATGAGCGAGCATTTGTTTGAGCGATCGGCTTCGTCGTTAAGCCAGAGTTTTTCCACAGCAACGGAGGAAAAAGAAGTGCCTTGCTTAACCGTTTCTGTTACTATCAAACCGGGAATTGAAAAAGAATTATCACAGAAAACTGAAGTTGTTCACAGTGAAAATGAAGAGTCCACCAGAGCAGAGGAAAATACAGCTTTAGAAAGTCAAACCGTGATCAACATGGGTTCCAAAGGTGAAATTGTGAGAGAGAAAGATACGAGACCATGCAGCAGCGAAGGAATGAAAACAGAACTAAAAGTATGTCTTTGAGATATTGTTGGACAGTTTTATATTCTTTTTTTATGCCTCAACATTGTTAAAATACACCAAAAATTACGTGAATTAACTCATTATCTAATACTGACTCGTTATGTAATTGATAACCAACCAAACAATTCAACCAACCAACCAACCAACCAACCAACATAACCTTTTACATATATTTAAGTATTGTGCGATGAATAGACATGTTTCTCATTTAAGGGCTGGAAAGGTTACGGCAGTAATATCTATATCCAACCAATTATTGTCAATACTGCCAACGAAGAACATTGTCTACAATGTAAGCAAGCAACTAGACGTCGACGAAATACGACCATAAACGAACTCCGAAGGCAAATGCAATTACGACAAGCTTCCGACTGGGTCACGAAGCACAACCAACGAATTTTTCTCAAAGGATCGTTAAAGATCGGAGACATTGTGAGCGATTCCCGAAGGAGTTCGTCAACGTCTTCAAAAGCTAGTTCTTCGAGGGAAATGTCGCCACCACGGCTGCCACGGACTGATGGCATGCCTAAAAAGAAAACCAGACTTGCTAAAGGATTTGTGTGTAGAACCTGGACACGAGACTACTTACCAGACCTACCACGGCCAGACTGTTCACTTAAAGAAACTTTGTCAGTGCGTTCCTATGTTAACATATCAAATCCATTTTGGCAGCAAACGCAAAAAAAGAGCAATAAAACGGCAAAGAATGAAATACTCTTCAACAAGAACAGTACAGAAGGCGATGCAAGAAATGATATTCACGAATTTCAGGTCAACGAAACTTGCGATGTAACGGAACACAACGAAACTGCGAAATTCATTGAAATTCCTTCTGAAACAGTMAAATGTGCTYAAACGCAAGACGAGTCTTCCACCARCTCAGAGTCCTCTATTGCAGAGTCAGTAAATTTGGCAGATTATCTCTTCAAGAGCGTGTCACTTCATGACAATAAAAATTCAAAATGTAAAGAAAAATCATGTGAATGTTTGAAAAACTTCCAAGAATCTTCTCACGAAAATTTTCCTAAGGTCGAGCAGGTGGAGTTCGAGAACAACACTAAAGTCGTAGAAAAATCTCTCTGTAACAGAGACTCGAACTCATTCCCTCCGATTGCGTCCAATAGCGCCGGCAAGGCAATGGATGCGCCGAGGAGTAGCAGAGTTCATCGGCCGAACACAGTTAATTTGACTTTTGCAAAACTAACGTCTAGACCAAAAGGTGCCGGAGACATGGTCAAGCGAAGCCAATCGTCAAAACCTTCTCAATCGACGTTTTGATTGGTCATCATTGTAAATCATATGTAATATACAGAATAAAATCATCACTAGATCAATAAATATGAATTCAAATCAATTTGTATTAGTTGAGGACGATGCTCTGGGAAAACATTTGATAACCTGTAGTTTTGATCTCCCTGGGCCTCGTGTGAGTTTATGCATGTCATGGTGCATATAGTCTGTAATCCACATTACAAGCCCGCCATTTTGAATCGGTTTGCAATGTGTCATGGGATATACACCTACTTGCAGAAACGTTGTCATAGAAAATAGGACATTTGTATTTAGTAAAAAGGAATAAATTAAATTACACAAAAGACGATCACTGAGGCTGAACTCTTTCRTTTGTATTAATTRATTCCCTTTTACTAAAATCAAATGTAATATTRTCTATGACGTTTCTGCAAGTWGGTGTAGATCTCCTTTTCTTCATAAAAACAAATCGCTAAAATCGTTCTGAAACACTTATTAGTTTCGATTTTTCCACACATAAAATATGTTTGTTTTCATCAGTTTGCTTGATTTGCCTAGTAAATAGAAATTCTCGATTAACTGTATATTTTTTGGAGGTTTTTCTTGCTGTATTTCCTATTGCTTGTTGATATTTGTGTTTTTTTCGCCGTATGCTTCTCAGATTAACTACAATGTCAATATTTCCCAATATTTTTTTAAAACTGAGTCTGTGTCACAGACAACTGGAGCACCGACATCGTTTCTCCCTTGTTTACTCATTCCCAAAATGCATTGCTTCACACGGCTTTCCGAGGGTCGTAATAAGAACTATGGTCTCTACCAACAAGACAAAGGGTGATAATTGTTTCACGTGGAATGTAGTTTCCGTTGTTAAACAAATGCCTTAATATTCGTAAACACAGTTTTATTTGCTGACTGGATTTCAGTCGAGTCTCAGCAAGTTATTTGTGTTTTTTGCTGTAAGAATAACTATGGAGTCTTCCAGCTGGAAAACGCGGCCTTCAGGTAAGGGTTATCTTCTTAATTTAAAAAATAGTTAAAAAACATACAAACTTTATTAGGTGGGAAGGCATAAGAACTTATTAGGGCTGAAGGCAAAATTTTACTCGCGAAAGTTAACGAGAACTTCATGCATTAAATTTCTCATTCGATATGGTAAGAAACCCGTAAACTCTCTTCAAAACAACTTGTCCTTTTCAAAATTCACGTTAACAATTATAAACAATTTCGCTTCCTCGCCTACCTCATTTATTCAAAATGGCGTCTTAAACGAGGTAGAACCCTAGGCCTCTCCTCCAAGTAATGAAAAAAAATAAAGGATACTACTGCACAATTATGACTTTAAAAAGTGATTTTATTGAAATAGTGCAAAGCAGTGGTGCTTGTTAAATAATCCAAGAAAAAAGAAAAATGTACAATTCTCTTCAGCATTGCATCGATAATCATGACAATAAACAAAGTCTAATAGACTTCAATTGCAATCGCCTTCATCAGGCTTGCATCTGGCAATTGAAAAAAAAGTCCCGAGGGTTGGGCGCTGAGGTTGACATTAGGACATTCACTAGGGGTGGGGTCGGGACATTCTATGCTTTGATAAATTGACGATTTCGTCGTTAAATTGTAAATACTTCTATCTAGCTAATTATTAAATAAAATCAAGGCATTTTCTCTATTTATACTCGCTAACTACACGACTGTACAATTTGTAAGTTATAAATATCAAATTTGAAATTTTTAAATAATTTTCTTCTATGTGGAAACTCTTCGTTGATTTTTTAAAAGGTTTCTAGGCAAAATTTTGAGAATGCTAGCTTTACATCTATGTAAAAAAACATTTTCTCATCCATTTGATTTCAATTCATATTTCTTCACTTTCCATTTTGTGGGAAAGCTAGGCCAGGGCCATTCCTTCATGTGGGGACATCAGAGTGATCTGATGAACCTGTTAGGATTTCTTTGAAGAATCGTAGGAAGGGACAGCGMAGCTAGTCATCCACTCGCTTGAGCCTAAGTGCTGGATCAGTCTTCAGGAGTTTCAATTGTTTCTGGAAAAGAGAGATTAAATGATGGTAAAAAAAAAATCCCAAAAGAAACGCAATTTTTTTTGCGTTATGAATAGATGACTAAATGGAGAAATGAAAAAATGAATAAATAAATAAACGATTAAATGGAGAAATGAATAAATAAATCAACCAATCAAGGAATGAATACAAAATATTGCTTACAATTTGAACGTCGGATGGAATACGTGACAAGAAYTCAGCTAATTCGTTATTATCAACAGCGTTTGGTTTTCGGATRTTCTTGGTAAARTTGTTGATTCCCCAGGCGAGTAGTAAGAACTTGAGTGGAACAAGGTACAAGACAATTGTACCAATAGTGAATGCTGCGCATGCCAAATAAGAACAGAATGGAACTGTCCAGTTGAATGTACTGAAAATAGGAAAAGTTATTTTATCAGCATTCTTTTTCATCGTAAGCTATATCTATGTGTATATGAATCGACCAACCAATCAGTCAGTCAGTCCTAAGTTCATCAATCAATCAGGTAATCAATCACTCCATCAATTAATTAATTAATTAATCAATCAATCAATAAGTAAATCAATCAATCAATCAACAACATAATCAATCAATCAATCAATCACTCCATCAATCAATAACATTATCAATCAATAACTTAATCAATCAATCAATCCATCAATTAGACATCCTTACTTCTTTAAGCGTTCGCCATTAGAAGCCACTTCATCGAGAGCATTTTGCACAGTGGAACATATATTCGTGATAGCTTGCATCTTTTCCTTAAAGCTCTTCCCTTCTCCTTTCTATAATTAAACATCAGTCGAATATATTAACAACAGCGGGTGAGGTTATGGGAGGGGTGGGTGGATTGTCTTCTTACCTTCTTTCCTTTCTCGGCTGGCTCATCGTCATCGTCATCCTCGTCTTCGTCGTCACCTCCTTCCTGCAAACAACAACGATTACATTGTGTAAGATAACTTCTCAATAATGTGCAAAATTCGCTTATGTATTTCAAATTCGCTTTTATATTTTTGTTCTTACGATAAAAACCGCGAGGTCATTTTTTGCATGTCATTGGTCAAAATGACACCACGTGAGCAAATAACAACCAATCAAAGTTGTTCTTACCTGTTCTTCGGGGTTGACGTTTCGGTCTGTCATCAACATACATACGACGTATTGTTTCAAGAAGCTAAGTAGAAGTGTCAGCGGTATAATGTAGAAATCGAAGTTCAAGCACATCATAATGTAAATCTGTGAACCAAAGAAGACAAATTACTTTAAAGATGAAGTAATGAAGAGAAGGAGACAAGACACACTTTGAAGATGAAGTAATGAAGAGAAGTAGACAAGGAGAAGAAAATCATAATGTAAATCTGTGAAGTCGACAGGACACACTTTGAAGATGAAGTAATGAAGAGAAGTAGATAAGGAGAAGAAAACGGGAGAACGAAGAGAAGAAGAAGAACGATAAAAAGAAGTAGAAGTAGAAGAGAGAAGGAAGAAAAAGAAGAAAAACAACAACAAAAAGAAGAAGAAGAACAAAACCAAAAACAACAAGAAGAAAAAAAAAATGAAAAGGAAGAAGATCAAGAACAACAAGAAAAAAAGAAAAAAAAGAATAAGAACAAGAACGAAAACAAGAACAAGAGCAAAAACAAGAACAAGAAGCCAACAAGAACAAGATAAAAGAACAAGGAAAATGACAAAAACAATATTAAAATAACAAAGAGTAGAAACTCAATACATGTAAAGTGACATCTTCAACGACAAAATCAAAGGTAAACATACCATAAATCCAAAGGCGCTTCTAAACTTGTACTGCCATGTAAACAGAGACCCAACAAACGCTCCAGCAGACACTAAACTTGCCACGAGTTTGTTTGTTCGGTCGATATTTCGTTGAAGYAGCTGAAACAAGAGATAAAAAATTTCAACGATCTCATTTCCAAATGAGCTTAATATACTGAGACAATATGGCGTACCTGTCGTTTGAATTTTGGCTTTTCGAACATGACTTTGGGTTCGCGTGGGTTGATGGTTCGAACGGCACCTCTGATTGGGTTATAGATAAAGTCTAGAGTCATAATGAGGTGTCCTTTGGCGCGTCCTTCCAAGCTCTTGTTCTTTAACTGGTACAGACGTTTTTCTCCTGGGGTAATCTAGGAGATAGCAATCGTAGTCATTTTTAGCATGCGTCTTAACCTTCACTAGTTTGTACGGTTTCTTGTGATTGGTGGAATTAAACAATGCTCATTGTTTACTCGTTCTTAAATCCTATTGTTTTCTTTTATTTAACAAATAGCTAGTAAACCAGTCGGATAAGATCTTGCAAAACCGTGAAGGGCTACCCCAACATGGTACTGCATTATACAATATTGTGTTACACTGTGTGACTTCTTTGCGTTATAGTACGCGACATTGCGTTACAATATGAAACGTTGGTAACAATATTAAAGATAGCGTTACAACATGACACATTGATTTCCAGTGTCTCACATTACGTTACAAAACATTACGTTACTCTATGTCACTGCAATGAGAAAAGCGTTATTGACAAAATATAAAGCTTACGTTACATCCTGATAGATTGCGTTACAAAATGTCACGTTCCGTTGTGTTATAACACCAATACATACATGTAAAAGGGGTATCATGATACGGCCAAGGAACTCTGGGGCCCCTCTCTTGTCTTCATCATAGACGGTAATGTCCAGGAAGTCATGAGGGTCGGCAATCTCCCTAGAAACAAAATAGAAAAGTTGCATAAGATGTGTATTTTCACAGCCTCGACCATCAATCAATGTGCTTACATTTCCCATATCTTGTTCCAAGCAGGATTCAATGTTTTGTAAATGGTATGGGTAACAAGACGCTGATTATTGACTTCCACGACAGCAAATGGATCGCTAGCACCACCAAGATCAGCCGAAGCTAACCCAACAGCTCTGTGCAACTTGACTTGAAGCCATCCAATCTGCTTGATCTTCTTTGGGGTGTTTTTCAAACCAAATCGCTTAACTGTTTCCTTTCTACGTGCTGGGTCTTCC